GGGATCTTCTGAGTATCACTCCAGTTTCTCTTTAACCTGAATGAGGTCATCCAGTCTTGGCTGGAGAAGAGCCTGTGATTAGACAGTTCTTCCCAGTTAGCAGGGAACCATATGATGAGGTCTAGAGGTTTGGGGATGATGGGACCCCAAATCCCGACACACGGGTCCCGCCCGAATGAATTTGAGCCAATCCTTTTTTCAGACAGAGACAAGGTTTATTAAAGATCCGCCATATTGGCCAGACTCATATGGAATCTGAACATTAGTGAGCTATTGGCTAGGTTCTTAAGGAATCTGAGCCTGTTTTTAAAACTTTGAGTTCTAAATTCTCTCCCTCCCTCCCTCCCTCCCCACCCATCCTCATTGAGAAGCCCAGCAACTTGATACAGGTTGTTCACGCATGGTCATGCAAAACACTTCCATAATAGTCATGTTGTGAAATACTAACTATATTTCCCTCCATCCTATCCCACCCCCTCATTTTTTCTATTCTCTCCTTTGACCCTGTCCCTCCTCAAAAGTGTTTGCTTCTGATTACCCCCTACCCCAATATGCCCTCCCTTTTATAATCACCTCCTCTCTCCGTACCTTTCCCCCCTCATCCCTTTCTCCCTATTTTAGTGTAGGGTAAGATAGATTTCCATACCCAATTGAGTGTTATTCCCTCTTTAAGCCAAAACTGACGGGAATAAGATTCACTCATTCCCTGTTACCTCCCACCTCTTCTCCTCTGCTGTTAAAAGTGTTTTTGTGCCTCTTTTATGTGAGGTAATTTACCCCATTTTACCTCTTCCTTTCTTCTTCTACCAGTACAATCCTCTCTTACCCTTTAATTTTATTTTTTAGATAGCATCCCTTCATATTCAACTCACCCTGTGCCCTCTGTCTATCTATCTGTATCTATATAGATTTCGATATATAGATATAGATATATGTGCCCTCAAACTACCCTAATACTGAGAAAGGTCTCATGAGTTACAAAAATCATCTTTCCATGTAGGAATGTAAACAGTTCAACTTTAATAAGTCCCTTATGATTTCTCTTTCCTTTTTACCTTTTCATGCTTCTCTTGAGTCTTATATTTCAAAGTCAGATTTTCTATTCAGCTCTGGTCGTTTCATCAAGAATGCTTGAAAGTCCTCTATTTCATTGAATGTCCATTTTCCCCCCTGAAGGATTATGCTCAGTTTTGCTGGGTAGATGATTCTTGGTTTTAATCCTAGCTTCTTTGACCTCCGGAATGTCATATTCCAAGCACTCCAACATCAGACAATTTCTTGAGCATATGGTAGTATTAAGAAATGCGTTTATTTGCTTTTTTTAGGATAGGAGAACACTGGGCATGTCTGCAGAAAACCCTGAAGCAACAAATAGATAGGAAGGAATTAAGAAATTGGGAGAAGGAGGTTGAGATGATTGGAAGATCAGTCTTCAAATTAACAGGAGTCATTCAACAATAATCACAGCTAACATTTATTTAACACTTTTGGGTTTACAATGCCTTTTCCTCATATTATCTGACCGGACCTTCACAACAACCCTGTGAAGTAGGTACTACAAGTATTTTTGTCCCCATTTAACATATGAGGAATTTGAGCCTCATACAAAGACTAGTCCCTTGTCACATAGCTAGTAAGTGATCAAAGTTAGATTCTAATTCATAATTCTCCTGACTCAAATCTATAGCTCTTCCACTCTACCATGCTGCCAATCAGAATATTGGTAAAGAACATGTATTGGAGAACTGAATTGACCAATTCAGGCTAAAATATTCATGTAGGATAAAAGTGAGTTAGAGATCAGTGATAAAATAGGCAGATTCATAAACATGACAACAGGTTTCCCATTTACTTCTCCAAATACCTCAGATATAAGCTCTGTGCACTTGCCCTGTCATCTTCCACTATAATTTCTTTGCTCTGTTATAAGACTACTAATCTGTAGAATTTGACTGGTAGTATATGATTCATGGACAACAGACATGTGACTATCTACCTTCTTATCCTGCGTTCCGTATCCATATAGAAAATTTATTCATAATACTTCAGCCTAAAGAAGCAACCTCGTAACTGAGGGGAAACATCCCCTTCCTATCCGTCTTTCTGTACACCCTGGGAAATAGTCCTAGTTGCTACAGTAGATAGAAGGATTGGAATAATCAGAGCACTAGGACTTAATACTTTGATTATTCTCTTGCTTATCAATAGTTAATCAGCTTTCACTAAGCACCCTTTATACACAGCATAACTGGACTAGGTCCTGTGGGAAGTATCATGAGACAAGAAATATTTAAATGCTTTGAAACAGTAGTGCACTCTATGAATGTACAGTACTGTTGTTAGGAAGCAAATGATAGAGGCATGGTCCTCTCCCAATAAGAAACTTGGCAATGTTGTGGCGAGAAAAGAAAGCAACCCCCTCGCATTATGTATAGCATGGTTAGTTTGGTTTTTGTTTTTTATCTCTTCACATCTTTCTCCAGTGCCGTATTGTGGTGTAGAGGTGGCTGTAGATTGACAAGGCAGTTGTAATTAAAGTGCCAACTCCCACAGGTCCTGTCATACTGAAAAGGTTTCAGGTACAGGCATGGTGATAAAATGTGTCTGGTGACTGGTGACTAGCTTAGCTAAATTTGGGCAAAGGTCTGTTATCAAATTGTTGAATTTTATGGCCTAGGGAACTCTCGAAGATTGTCTGCCAAGGCGTAAAGAGGATATTATCAGTCAGGGAAATACCTCCATCACTGACATCATAGCTCCTTGAAATATTTAAGTGAATATACATTTGAGCATGTGTGTACATTTTACGTGTGTTTACGGTGACCAAGATCATTGCATAAGGAAGATAAAAAGAATAATAATAATAATAGCTAGTATTTGCATTGTGTTACAAACTTTTCAGAGTGCTTTACAAACATTATCTCATTTGATCTTCACAACAACCCTGGGAGGTAGGTGCTATTAGTATCCACATCTTACAGATGAGAAAAAAAAATTTTTTTTTTTAAATTTGGTTAGGCAATGGGGTTAAGTGACTTGCCCAGGGTCACACAGCTAGTAAGTGTTGTGTGTCTGAGGCTGGATTTGAACTCAGGTCCTCTTGAATCCAGAGGCGGTGCTCTATCCACTGCGCCACCTAGCTGCCCCCCAAATGAGAAAATTAAGGAAGAAGATAAATGACTTGCCCGGGATCACCTAATAATTATCTTAGGGAAGATTTAAACTCAGTTCTTACTTATTTCAAGTGCAGGGCACTACTAATACAGCTAACTGCCTGATAAGTTCAGCAGTAACGTGCAAGATGGAAATATGTAGGAAAATTTGTGAGGAGGAGGGTCTTGTGCAGAAAGGGTTTGATGGTTTGACAGCATTTATGGTGGGGCAAGGGACAAAGAGACAGAGGGGTCAAAGATAACTAAGGTTTCAAGCCTCGGTGATTAGAACATACATTATTGCCAGTTTTAGGGAGCTGGTTTAGGGAGAAAAATGAGTTTGTTTTTTAGATCTCTTGAGTTGTTGGGATGAGTTTGTGTTTTAGTGGGAAAATTGTGAACTAGAAATCAATGAGGCCTTCAGGGGGAGTTCTTTAATCTCTGTGAGTACGTAAAAGGGAAGGTACCAAACACCTTGATCCCTCAGGATTCTCCCTCAGTCTGAGGGGTATAATTGGCTGTGGTTTATAAGTATACATTTATCATGATGAAGTTGCAGTTTTCCATTAGTTTTGGGGAGGTTTTTAATCTTCAGTTTGTATTTTTCTTTTCAAAATGCTCTTACAACTGAATAGAATAGTTGAAATACTGTTCCTCCATCTGTTCTGCTGAGTAATAATTGAAAAGAATAATATATCTTATAATGTCTAACTTGTTGCTTAACATTTCCTTTTTCTTACAATATATTTCTGAAAACTTGTTTCTAGGATATTCCGTTAACTTGTTGCAGTACATAGCTGACTATTGTTAAAGCATCTGAATCTGCCCTGTTCAGCATGACCTTGACATCTCCTGCTTTTCGTACTTGTAGTAGTAGTTAGTTAAGTTTATTAATGAGAGCTGGTGACCATGGACCTACCACCTTTTCTTCAACTAAATTTCCACTTTGGCACAACCATTAAGCCCTTGTTGACACATGGTGATATAAATATACCTACCTAACCGGGTTGTGAGTACCAAATTAAATAACGTGCACAGAGCTTTGTAAAATCTTAAAAAATGATATAAATGAAGGGGCAGCTAGGTGGTGCAGTGGATAGAGCACTGGCCCTGGAGTCAGAAGGACTAGAGTTCAAATCTGGCCTCAGACACATAATATTCACTGGCTGTGTGACATGGTACAAGTCACTTAACCTCGATTGTCTTGCCAAAAACAAACGAAAAAAAAAAGAATGATATAAATGTTAGTTATTATGATGGAGCTAGGTGTTCTTTTCTTTTTCTGTTTTAGCTAAGTGTTCTTTTCTTTTTCTGTTTTGAGGTCTTTGCATATTTGTGTGTATATATGTGTGTGTGTTCCTGATTCAGTTGTATTGAACATTTCCCTTATTTTTTCTGTTCAAAATAGATTTTATATAGTGTAAAGTATAGATTTCTAAATTAGGGGTTGAAGATTATGGAATTATTTAAGATATGTAGCTTCATAAATTGAAAATTGTTATAGGTAATTTATTACTTGCAGAGCCTAAAGGAAAAAAAAATATTTGTCTGTTTTTGTAGATACTTTGCAAAATTCTATAAAGCAAAATAATTAGAAGAGCCTGATACTTACAATTGATTTCTGCATATAGTACCTTATATTATTGTTGGGTCCAGTATAAACCCAAATTCTCCTTTTGAGTTAAATATTGAAGGGGTATATAGCTTTGTTCAGTTGTATATTTTCTGTTATAAACTTTGATCTTCTAAATAAAAATATTTTAATTTTATGGTGTTTAATTCAAGTGTGTACCAATGATGTATGTGTGTTTTGTTTTTTGTTTTTTGTTTTGTTTTTTGCTGTCCTAGTCACGTGAACTGGAAATTTCAGTTTATTGGCGTGATTGGCGATCTCTCTGTGCAGTAAAATTTCTAAGGTTAGAAGATTTTTTAGACAACCAGCGACATGGCATGTGTCTCTATCTGGAACCACAGGGTACTTTATTTGCAGAGGTAATAAACCTGATTGTTTCTTTTTAAAAACATAACCATATATTTAACTACATAAGTAAAACATTTAAGAATTAAGATATGGTGGCATAGAAGAAAGAATCTAGACCCTGGCACTGGCTCAGGTGTCAAGGATTTGAGGTCTGGTCCTCTGTGCATCTCCCACTGACTTGACCTTACCTTCCTGTGCTTCCCTCCTCTCTAAAATGGGCACACTCCACCAAGGGATGGCTCGGGCCCCATCCAGGCCTCAAAGTAGAGGATTCCAATTGATTTCATAGGATGGAAGCCATATGGACTCTATAAATTTACCACACTTCCTTTCTACAGGTTACCTTTTTTAATCCGGTTATTGAAAGAAGACCAAAGCTTCAAAGACAAAAGAAAATTTTTTCAAAACAACAAGGTAATTATTTTACTAAGAAAACAAATTAGCATTTCTCTATGGTGAGATATTAAAGTGCTTCATAATAAAATCTAAATGGGGTTCAGAAAACTGAGAGCAAGGCTTTTCTGTGTTCATTGTCAAACTACAGTTGATGCGCTGCAGAAAAACCTAGTGATGGATGGTTTAAAACCACTAAAAAGGCGGCACGCTCAGTTTGTTCTTCATAAACTATAAACACATGAGTACGACTTTTTTAATTATGGCTTTTGGTAATAGAGATAAAGAAATCACTTGCACTCTTGTCTTTTTATTCACAATATCCACAGGCAAAACATTTCTCAGAGCTCCTCAAATGAATATTAATATTGCCACTTGGGGAAGGTTAGTGAGAAGAGCAATTCCTACGGTAAATCATTCTGGCACCTTTAGCCCTCAGGCTCCTGGGCCTGCAACAGTGCCTGTGGTTGATGGGCGAATTCCGGAACTAACACCACCAGCGAGGTATATGTCTTAAATTTTTAAGGAGGGTTTACACAAAACAGTAATTAGAGAATTTTTATATATGTTGAACCCAGTGAATTAGTTAAAATTCTTATTCTTCCTTTAAGTAGGAATATGAAGTTAGTATTTTTATGTTCATTAGAAGAATCTCAAACTGACATTTAAAAAGAAAAATCTAAAGACATTTTAAAATAGGTACCTTCAGTTTAGTAATTTTGATAAATGATTTTCTCTTCTACAAGTGACCCTACAGTAACCAAATTGGACTTTGAACTTGAACCAGAAGCACCTCCAGCCCCACCACGTGCATCTTCCTTTGGAGAAATACATGAACTTTCAGAATTAAGAGTTTTGGATGTACCAAGACAGGCAAGACTTTTTTTAAATATGTAATTTATTTTTGCCAAACAAATTAAAATTATAAATATGTAAGGAGAAATTTTGTGATATATTTCTAAACTTATTTAAATAGTATCGTTTAAATACTGTGTCTACAAACAGATTGTGTATATTCGTGTACGAAATTATCCCAACTAGATATAGTAAATAAGAGCCAACATCTTAGTCTTTAAGAGTTACTGAAATTAACAATTTGATGTTCTAGTGACCAATTTCAGATGAAAATTTCCCAAGTCAGAAAGATATTAATTTCTGTTATGTGTCACCTTGTCTGAAACACACAACTCATTTTACCATCTGACTATGCTTTGTTTTTCATTGTAGCCTATGTTACAGTTATCTAATTTCACCTCCCTCCCCATTAGACTGTAAACCCCATGAGTTCATTTACACTGTCTCTTATACAAACTTTATGTCTGTCTCAGAGAATAGTGTATTACTCAGAGCACAGTTGGTACCCAATAAATGTTTATGGAATTGAATATATTCCATGAGCTACCAGGGGACCATTCCTATATGAGAACAAAGTGTTCCACCTGGTTAGATCACACGTACTTGTTTGTTATTTCAACTTCATTAGACCACATTCACATTTTGTTTAGAAGACTGTGTTGCCTCTCAAATTATTTAACTTCACTCTTACCTAACTGTGGGTGTGTTCTTATATTTTTTTAAAGGCTAATTGATGTTTTTCTTAATATTTCATAGGATTCAGAAACAGTTTTTAATTTTGAAAATGACAGAAATAGTATTGCTTCAAAAAAACAAACTGAGTATGAGCCTCCTATCCTTCAGTCAGGCCTAGAGTACGGAAGTATTCAAGAACCTGAGGAGAGAAGGTAATATAAATTATGATAAATATGAAACTGACTGAATAGATTTTCATTTGTAATTTGTAATTTATTCTAACATTTGTATTGATAATTACTCTTTTTCAGATCTCCACAGAGATTTCAGTTTAGTCTTCAAGACTTTAGGTGTTGTGCCGTATTGGGTAGAGGGCATTTTGGAAAGGTATGCATTTAAAAATTTTTTTCTTGACTAATTCTAAAAACAAATTATACTGTTTTAACTTAGAAGCAGTCTCACCATTTTTGCAAAAAGGTGAAATACAAAGTGTAAGTAAGTAACTTGCCCATAACATTTCTATATTATTGCAGGTGCTTTTGGCTGAATACAAAAATACAAATGAGATGTTTGCCATAAAAGCTTTAAAGAAAGGAGATATCGTTGCTCGAGATGAAGTGGACAGGTTAGTTTAAAGAAAACAAACTAAAATTATTTGATGTTCATTTTTAAGGAGTGAGTTATTTTATGTACTGAAGTGTGAGTCTTTCTCCATACCTTGTGTAGTATTTTCTTTCTACATTTCATTCTCTTTTTGAACGAATTTAACTGGTTAATGAATTAAAATAAAACATAATGAAATTCAGAAATTAATAATGGCTACAGCATTTTTGCTCTGGAATTCAAAATGATGTTATCAAAAGTAGGACCGTTCTCTGAATGTTGTGAAAAGAGGGCATAACTAATTTTATGAAATTGCCCTCTCACCATGTTTCTTAAATGTCACTTAATTGATGGTCACACAACAGTATGGCAGGTAAGAGCCAGCATCCTTTTAAAAAAAAAAAAAAAGCAACCAACTCACTTAGTGCAGTCATCCCCAACTAGCAAGTATCCTTTATCTCTCCTCCCCTTCAGGGCCAAAATTATTGAGAAAGTCATCCCAACTCAGTGCCTCCATTTCCTTTCCCCTCACTCATTGCTAAACCATTTATAACTTTCTTCTAATCTCATCATTTAACTGAAGCTGTTCTCTCCAAAATAAAAGTGATATATTAATTGCCAGATCCATGTTTTTTTCTCAGTCTTCATCCTTCTTGACCTCTTTGTGGCATTTGATGCTATTCATCACCCTTCTCTTTGGAATATTTTCTGACACTACTCTCTGATGGTTCTTCTTCCTCCTGCTCTTTACCTTCTCTTTCTCCTTTGCTGAGCCTTCACTGAGGCTGTAGATCCATAAACCATACTTTTTCCCAAGGCCCTGTCCTAACATTTTCTCTTCCCCCTCGCCCCCCCATACTATTTTGCTCAATGATCTGATCAGCTCCCATGGGTTCAATTACTTCTGTACAAATGATCCCTAGGGCTTTATATCTATTCCTAGTTCTTTCTTGATCTCCAGTCTCATATTATTCACTGCCTCGTGGACATCTTAAACTAGATGTCCTATAGATGTCTCAAAATTACCATGTCCAAAACAGAGCTCATTATCTTTCTCCCTAGAGTTTCTTCTTTTCCAGACATTTCCTCATGAAGTCAAAATTTAATTTAATTAAGCTTCTTTTTGATCAGTTCTAAATTTTAGGGAATTTTCTTTTCTTGGGTATCATTTTGTACTTCTTATTCCAAACTGTTAATTCTCTTTCCAAATCATTCCTCCTTAGCTCCATTTCTTTTTTCCATTTTTTCCTCTTATGCTTTCATTTGGATTTTTTAAATCTTTTTTTGGGGGGGGCGAGGAGGGGGCGCGGGTAAACCTCTTCCTGGAATTCTAGTTGAACTTGTGTCCGGGCTGTGTTTTTCTTTGAGGCTTTGCTTGTAGCTGTTTTTGAGTCATTCTTTTTTTTCTTGGTTTGTATCTATGGTTCCTGCCACCATAATAGCTATTTGTGGTGGATTCTTTTTGTTTGTTTGTTCATTCTTCCAGCCTACTTCCTGGCTTTGGGTTTATGTTATGGCCAGTCTTTGCTCACTTTCCTGGGGAATGTCTGAGTTGAGTTTTGTCCTCTTGGATCTGTCTGCTGCTTTCTTGGTGTATTGAGTGTGGTGTTATTCTAGAATCTCACCAACCTGCAAGTTTTTCAGTGCTCCCAAAAAGCTCTGCATGTTCCTGATCAGGATTTAGGTCTACACAGCCCTTCTGTTGGAAGTTCTAGTAGACCTTTGAACCAGCCAGGAGGCTGCACTGGAGAGGGACAGAAGTGCTGGTTCCCTTTGGTCTGGGAGCCTGGCTGTGGCTGTTCTGCTGCAGGATTCAGACTGGGCGGGAGCCTGGGACCACTTCGAATCCCCTCAGCTCCTGCGGTCAGCCACACAGCTGCTGCTTGGTTCTGGACTTGTTCCCAGCTCATTTCACAGTCTTGGGCCCACAACCACCCCCCTCACCTATGGCCACCACCCCACTGTAAAATCTTGGATCTGTGACCCAAAACTGGGTGGGGAATGACAGTGTTGCCATTTGGAAACCTGTTCTCATACCCTGCATAAGATCAGACTCTTTTTTGGGGGACCTCTTCTTGCCCTGGTGCACAGCCTTAGTCTTCTTTCAGTTCCTGTGCAGTCATGAGCCTCATGGTGCCCCTCTGGCAAGACCTGATCCCAAGGTCCACAGACTGCTCTCTTTTCTGCTTGTCTCCTTATGCCAGCCTGGGCTAGGAAAATGACTTACTGTGATTTTTTCCTAGATTTCCCAATCAGGACTTCATCAGGTATGTTTCATAGATCTTTGTGGAGGAGCTGGGCTGTATATCATGTCTGCTCTTCAAGCTTCTTGGCTCTGCCTCACCAGATCTTTGACTTTTTAGGGCACCGCCATCCTCCCACTCACTCAGGTCTACTCCATTGGTGTTATTCTCACATTCACTCCATGTATACAGTCTGTTACCAAGTCAGTCAGTCGATCCATAAACATTTATTAAGCACCAGCTAGGTGCCAGGCACTGTGGTAAGCTGGGGATACAAAAAGAGGCAAAAGATAGTCCCTGCCCTCAAGGAGCTGACAGTCTAACGGACCAAGTCTTGTTTCTACCTGCGTAACATCTTTTGTATACATCCTTTTTCTTCCACTTATACAGCCACCACCCTGATAGGCATGCCTTCTGGTTCATCTCCTTGTCTCAGGCCTCTGCCCCCTCAGTCCATCACACACTCAGCTACCAAAGTGATCTTCCTAGAGGGTAGGTTGGATTGTGTCGCCTCTTTCCTCCATGCCCCCCAGTAAATCCAGATTCTCCCTGTTAATCTCCAGGATCAAGTAGCACATTCTCTGACATATAAAAAGCCCTTCCCAGCATTCTAGTCTGTAGGCTTTCCTTCCTCTTCACACAGTCCAGTGGCACTAGTTCACTGGATGTTCTCCAAACAGAAGACTCCCATCTCATGACTCTTCTTTGGTAATGGCTGTCCTGGCTTCCTGCAAGACTCAGATCAAACCTCATATTCTTTTAGAGACTTTTCCCCATCCTTTCTTCCCTTCATCCTCACAGGAAGGAGATTACTTTCCACATACACTGTATATGTCTAGTTACATGTTGCTTCCATGTAAGAATGTGAGTTCATTGAGGCAGGAGCCCTGTTTTTGCCTTTCTTTTTATCCTCAGGGCCTGGCCCCTTGCCTGGCTACAGAGTAGGTACTTAAGTAGTCTTTAAAGTGGTTGGCATTTTGGTATACTAGAAAAAGCCAATAGACTGGAGTCTGAGATCTAAGTTCACATACTCACTCTGACTTTCATTAACTGTATGTCCTTGACAAAGTCTTTACTATGTCTCAGTCTTAGCCTCCTCATCTATGAAATGGAATTAGTATTATTTGTATATAGTTGTGAGGAAATTTTCTTAAATTGTAAAGTACTGTATAAATGTGAGCAGCTACCATTCTTCATTCTAGGTAAGAATTCATGTAACATTAAAGACCGAATTATTTTGGACCCCTTAAACGAATGATTTAATGAACACAAGAGTAGTATCAGTGTGATTATATTGATATCAATTAAGTGAATTACCTGCTCTCAGGAAAGTAGCAAATGGTGAAACTCAAACATTTCAGTAGATAACAGGTCTTGTTTTACTCTTTATACTTTTTTACCTTTGAGAATGATCTATTTCATATAGGTTCATGTCCATCTTCCCACAACCTTCTTTTCCTGTACTTTTATTTTCTTGAAATCTTTTAATTAAGTTATGTTTTACCTATAAGAGCTTATTGAACATAAATTGTATAAATACATTTTTATATGCTTATTCTAAATTGCGGTGGCTATGTTGGTAAATAATAGAATTAGGCAGTTTGGTTTAGTGGATAGAAGGCTGCCTTAAGACTATAAATCTGGGTTCAAATCCACCTCTGACACATACTGGCTCTGAGGCAGGTCTCTTAACCTCTCAGTGCCCCGAACACCTGTCTAAGAGTCTAAGTTAAAGGACACTTAATTGTTATCTGTTATGGCTGAAGGAATTACCTATCCCAGTCAATTACTTGATAAACATATATTAAGCACCTACTATGTGTAGGCACTGTGCTAAGCCTAGGGATACAAAAAGAGGTCAAAAATGGTCGCTTCTGTCAAGAAGCATACATGATAAAGGAGACAACAAGCAAGCACATATGTATGTACAAAGCAGCCTATCTGCAGAAAAGTTTGGAAATAATTAATAGAGGGAAGGCATTAAAATTAAGAGGGTTTGGGAAAGGCTTCCTATAAAAGATGGAATGTTGGTTGAGACTTGAAGGAAGCCAGAAAGGTCAGTAGTTGGAGTGGAGGAGGGCATGAGGGACAACCAGAGAAAAGCTCAAAGCCAAAAGAATGAAGTGTCTTGTTGTGGAACATGCCAGAGGCCAGTGTCATTGGACATGGAGTATGAGGGGGGAAATAAAGTGTAAGAAGGCAGGAAAAGTTGGAGGGGGGGGGGGCTAGGTTATAGGGCTTTGAGTGCCAAACAGCGCATTTTGTATTTGATTTCAGAGACAATAGGGAGCTGATGGAGTTTATTGAGTAGGTGGGGCTGACGTGATTTTACCCTTTAGGAAAATCACATTAGTGGCTGAATGGAGGATGGACTGGAGTGGGGAAGAGACTTAAGGTGGGCAGATACATCAGCAGCTAGTACAGCAGTCAAGGTGTGAGGTGAAGAGGGTCTGTACCAGGAGGGGGGCAGAGTCAGAGGAGAGAAGGGGGCATATTTGAGAGATGTTGCAAAGGTAAAGTTTGCAGTCCTTGGCAACAGTTTGGATATGGAAGGTGGGAAAGAGGGAGAAATCCAAGATGTGAGCCTGAGGGACTGGGAGGTGTTGTCCTCTGCTGTAATACCAATGAAATTACAGATCCAGATTGGAAAAAAAGGAAAGAATATATATGCTAAAAGAGTTAAACAGCAGCAGAGTGGCTTAGTTCATTCATTGTATAACAAGGAGCAGTATCATTTACTGTAAGAAACATGAGGTCATGAGATCACCTTTCAATATTT